TCAGACAAATACTTTGTAGGTAATTTGGTTGTGGTTTTTTTCTTTCCCTTTCCTTTTGGGGCTGGGGGGTTGGTTGTTAACCCTCCACAATGTCAAATTCTTAGCCTTTAAACTCAAGAAACAGTACATATCTCAGCCAGCAGAGCCAATTAAGTTCAGGTCATGGCAAGTTTAAAAGTTGACAACTGTTCAAAGTGTAATTTGAGAAGATGAACGGAGAGAACACGGCCAGACGCCAGAGTGGACTTGGAAAAGAGAGTCTTCAGTTTTTGTGTCCTTGTGGCTTCTATAGATAAATTTGATTTAACGTCAATAAAATCTTCCATATGTGGAAATGCTGACTTCGCTGGAAGCTTAGCGAATATGGGGAAAGGATTTTGAATTAAGACTTATTGATTATGAAGACTGATAATTATGGAGGACATTATTGAAGAAACCTAATGTTATTACGTACTAACATGTATGTTTGAATAATGCTTGCATCATACAAATAAAATAACAGAAAAAGTCTACTTAATACTAAAATTTTTATTTAATGAAGAGATTATTTAATGCTAATTCTGGTTATGCATATCTCCATTCTTTTCCAAGGGAATAAAAAGGTGAAATTTGTCTGTCACCTTTCTTCTCAGAACAGAAAAACAAGCTACGAGCAACGATTAATTTCTCCATGGGTCTTTGCTGCAGTTTCATGAAATTTCTTCTGAGCCACGACTTCCATAATGGACGACTAGAAACAAACGCCAAAAGCGTTTTTCAACATTGTTGGCTAATTCATGTGGATTTCCAAACTTTACAGGTCAATTCAATTCCCTTATTTGAACAGTAAAGAATTAGACTTGCTGCCGAATCACTCATTATTGTGAAATTTCTCAGAGGAAAAGTAAACAAAAAATAGCAGCAACTTAAATTTTACCAAAAATTATGGCCTTTTCTATATTCTTTCCAATTTCATTTGTTGTGTAAATTACGAAATTATTTCTAAAGAGTTACTCAAGATCTTACCTAATCAATAGAAATCATACATACCCACAAGAATTTACGTGATTCGATATTTTGATGACCTACATCCACGGCATAGCAACAGATTTACTAAGAGAAAAAATAAAAAAAATTATAAAAACAGTCTCAAACTCATAATCTTATCTCACGTATACCCAAATCACTCTCTAAATCTAAGTAATGATTATTCTTGAATCTTATATAGAGTCTTTTTATAATACCAAAAATAATAATCTTATCCTAATACAATTAGAATTTATTATTTTAATTTAACTAAATTTAAAGACTATTTAATAAAATATATTAATTTAATTAAAATTAAATAATCTTAATCATATTAAAATTCAAAACTACCCTAACACCATTTAAGTTGGAGAGACCTTGTCAATATAACTAGAGAATTGGGATGTCCAAATGTAGGTGTGATGACGGAAGATCCTGTAGATGTGATGACAGACATTGCTTCATCGATCTATCTCATCTGAAATGTCATCTGAAAAAGAAAATTGTATGATGAACTCCTTTTAATTTGTCTTTACCATGTCAACTTGGATAATCAATTCAAAAATAGTTATTACCCCTGATGTCAATCACATCAAAGCTTGCACAACCACGGGTTGCATGTGACCAAAACTTAGTTCAGGTTATGAATGCAAGCGGAGGGGAGGCAAAGCATGGGGTGGAACAACGTCCACATCTACAAAATGGGAATTTTTAAATGTTTCCGTGCTTCATTGATCATGAGATCAATTGTATATTCTGCTTGCAAGATCGACCTCCAGATCTGATCTGAAGGAAGAAATGAAACTAGCCAAGATAATAAAAGAAAAGGCTTTAACGTATAGCATGATCTGAACTGAATCCAACACGATATTTCCGCTAGACATTGTTTTTGACCTGATTTGAATTATTACGGTGAAAGAGCTCAAGGCAGATTCTGACAACAATTGAACATCAACCTTGTAGCTGGCAAGTTAGCTGGCTAATTTCCCTTCCGGTATAGTTGCTCTCATAATTGTTATTACTATTTTGGTACTACTCTCCCTTTTGACAATTATATTTTATACTTTGGATCAATGCAGATATAATCATTATGCCAAATGCATTTCTCTCCGCAACCATTGCTATTTGCTACACAACCTTTGCCAATTGCAATTTCCAGGACAGTGACCGAGTGGGAAGAAAGTGTCAAAACTGCTGCTTTTCCATTTTCCATAGCATTCCTTTCTGGTTTCGATTCTATAAGCAAAGTCATACCCTCCATCCACTTGCAAAGCATTTCAAACTCTCGCAATTCCCTTTTATTTTTTCTTTTAAGAAAAACTTTACTGCTAGAGAAATCAAGATCTGAGGGAGGGTATGACCAAGTCGACCGAGAATGATGATAAGACCTCCCGCCCTTAATCTTAACGTAGGAATAGATCAAAAAAATCAATTTAGAATTTCAGGTGCCAGAGTGGCCGCACCAACTATTTTTTTAACTATAATTTGAATGGTTAAAACTGCGAAAAGATGAAGCAGTAATCGCCAAAAGTCAGAAAATGTTTGACGTAAGTTAAAGAAACTCGTGCAGATTCACTTCACTTCTTCGGATGTTGACATGTAGGAGACCCATTCCTGTAGCTCTGATCCTTTTGTCCTAATCTATTCCAACTTTATCGTTTCTTTTCTTGGATGATTATTTTCTCTGCAATTTGACGAAGTTAACATTACGATGATGATGATGATGAGGCAACTGCTTAGTTGAAAGAGATCAAAAGATAATGTAAGTTCAAATTTGGTATGTTTTAAGTTCTAACCAAAGATAATTTTATATATGATTGATCTTTGATTACTAGCTAGTGAGTGATTGCGGGGCAGATTGGTTTGTAATTCCAGAAACAAGGCTATATGACTTGCAGTAGCGTCGTAGTCCAACTGAACACTTTTAAATCATGATTTATTACTTTGCAAGCAACTTGAAGTAGTGACGAAATGTTCTTTCTATAAACAAATGAAGAATGTACAATAACTTGGTCAGCCCTAACTTGAAGAACCATGGCTCAGATCTAAGCTAACTCAGATAAATTTCCAGGGAATCTGACTTTCAGAACCTCTTTCTCTTGGATACTAATTTGACTTCAGTTAAGTATACTTAGCTGCAAAATGGGTAGGAATAGAACATTTGAGGCATTTAAACTTCCATCATCCTATTGCTATGGTAGTATCAGAGCAAATTGATTTGATTTCAAACCCTGACAAGTTACAATCAAAAAGTGGAATTCATTTGTTCCAACAATACTCTTAACAGATAACGGAACAAACCAATGTTCTTCTAATTATTGAGTGTCTTAGACCAAGACATAACTTAATACTGGTAAATAGAGAAATGATTGTTGCTAATATCTGAATCTATAACTGCAATAGCATCTTCTTGACTCATTCTAGCTAAATGATCATACTGTGAATTCTGCATTGAGAACAGAGCAATGATCTCAATGTCTCAGTTTGAAGCTACTGACTCAGTCCACATGTTGCTTCCAGGAGCATGCAATGATTGGCTTCATCAACTATTTTCTAATGGCGATGTTGATAACATGTTGGCTTAATTGACAAGTCTACATTAACATCGGTGCCATCACTAATTGCCATATACGTTTAACCAATCGGGAAATGCCAGTAACAGGTCCAAGGCTTTGGTATGCCTAGTGACTAGTGACATATGCATTTATTTACCAAGCCAACTTACGGGTACATGTTTAATTTATTCTTCTTCACAAAAAAATGAAATCCCACTCCTGATTCTTTCAATTTAAGAGACGGACAAAATCTAAGATTCTTTTCTTTTGTCAAATAGTGACATTTTACTGTATTAACTTAATAGAATTTAAGTATAAAAAATCAAAAACACTTTTGTTTGATGTATTGTCATATGATATCCATCTAACGTTAATTATAAGTTAATTCATAAAAAAATTATATTAATTATTAATAGCAAATATAATAACATGACTTACGTGCACGAGATGTAATTATCTCCTTATCACATGGAAATAACTTCTTTTTTGTACTCTTTAGCTTTTGAATAGATTTGACCGAATGTAACAGATGTAAAGTGAAAAACCACTATCAAAATCTCCTTATATTAATATAAGGTGGGTTTAAGATGTATCTCACGTCAAGCGTTATAAAGAAAATAGATAGAGTATTTCAATATCTCATTATAAGTAGGAGGATTTTGAACTGTTTATAAATGTGAACACCAACCTTTTGAGAAAAAAATAATGACTTGTGACAAGGGATTTTAGAATAAATTTAATCAAGACTCAACTTACACCAAGCACCTACAGAGGGAGGCATATAGGGTGATCGATGATGATGAGGGTGCTACAGAATGGGAATGTTGGACAAGTAAGAGATATTTCAAAGCTTATAAGCGTGAATGTTTATACCTTATTAAATTAATCTTTTTGAAAAAAATAAGTACCTTATGATATATATGCAAAGTGAATCAAACAAATCCAATGAACATTCATGGAAAATAAAATCATAGTTTTATCAACAACAGAAAATTTAACATTCTTTTGCCACCATATAAGATTTGATAATATAGATAACAAAGGAGAAGCAAAAAGATGACAAAACCAGACATAGCGTTATCTGGCCCAGTATCATTTAGTCAATGACTTGAAACGGTCCAAATGGTTCCGTTGGGCCTCAACTACTGCTATCAAAGGCTTTTTAATGGAATTGATGTCTCACCAGCCTAGCCTAATCATTTGACCCGTTTCTTAAATTAATAAGCGGTCCACTAACTTTAAATTAGTGGGCCTAATGGGCTTTCCTTTCACTAACAACTAGCAACCTCTTGTGCTTCACCAATCCCCAGCTCCAAAAAAAAGATGCAATTAATTGAATTGAAAAGTAAAAGTAAGCATAGACCTGTTATGAAAAGGAACGAAATCAACCCATCTGGGAAATCAAGGTAAGACTTTGTCTTAATCAATTGGCAACAACTAAGAAAAACCCCACCGGATTCTTGAAGAACTAAAACCAGAAAGGATTATATCGCCTGAACTCAGTTTTCATGGTTGGTGTACATATACATAAACGGCAATATATATTAAACTTTGATCTTAATCTTAATAACTATACTTACATATGGAACCAAATCATAACTTGGATAGCCCGATCTAAGTGAAGCTTACATGATTTTAAAATTAGACTAATTTAAACAATTGACGGCTCTGGTTCATGATCGTCCAATATCCAGGAGCCATTGTCCTGCTGAGCCATGCCTTTATTCTTTTCTATCCACCATTCAACTGGAACTTTATACTCGTCTTTCAATGCATCCAAGCTTTTGTTTAGAAGCGCGATATCCCGATTAACATCCAGCTTGAATTCCCCTTTGGCCCCTTGTGAACCTGCGACTCCATGCAAATATGGCTCCAACTGATGAGCAATCATCAAATTCTTACTGATATCCAGGTGGCTCTTCATGTATGGCGATTTGCCAGAATCGATTAACAATTTCTTCCCAACGTGGGTATAATGGAGTAAAGGTAATGGTATTGGCAGTGAAGGAACCATATCAAAGTCATTTTTGATCCGCAAGACATGAAGATTTTTGAATCCTGAGAAAACTTTCTTGAAGCCTGAGTCCCCAACGCGAGGGCTGGCAAATACAAAGGCTGTGACCAAATATTCCTTGTCTGGTTTGGTGGTCGGTTTGTTATACCCATTTGCAATAATGTCCACTGCGTTGAGCGTGGCAACTGCGGCACCTAAGCTATGGCCCGACAAGGTTATACTGATTTCTTCGTCTTGGTATAAGTCAACCAGCCTCCTAACCTCACCTAGAACCTGATAAAATCACTTCTTACAAGTAATTAGTATCTGATATACATGCTTATGTTTAACATACTATATCATGAACAGCATATTAAATAACGTTGGACTTGCCTGTTCTCTAGCGCTGGCCTGATTGTATACGGATTTTGAGTCTTTTGCAGTGTATATGGAATGCCAACCATGGTGCACCCTTGGATCTCCATTATCTCCAAGTATATCGGCAGCTGAGACTAAATCTGCTTTAAGATCATTAATCACTTCCAAGTTTCGCATGGTTCCTCTCCAACATATCAAAATGTCCCTTCTTCCTAAGACAGCCTTTCCTTCGTCGGTGGTCACAGCCACATACCCGATCCAGTTGGATTCCACAGCAGCAAACCAATCAAGGATTTCGATTTCTGATCTTGCATAAAAGAACTTGGTTACTTTGTATTTGTAAGGATTGCCCATCTCTAACCCCACTTTAGAGAAGAAATCCTCCGTTGAATATCGGCTAAATCCAACCCATTTCGACGCCTTCTCTCCATTAAAGGCATCCATAACAGCTTGAGTTCGTTCACCATAGTGAATAATATACTTGCGAAGATCTTTATCAAGAGGGTCCAATAAACCCTCCCAGTTATTCTCCCCACTTAGTTCTCTCCACCTTTGTGCAATGCTACCCATCAATTTCTTTTTCTTGCCTAAACAATCTATGAGGGATATATGAGATCTTAATTCTTATTGCAGCCGATATATAGTGATGTGCTTCTCATGCCCCAGATATGGTGTCCCCCTTATTCTTTAATTTTCAAAAGAATATTTGGTGATTAAGTTTTCAAGAATGGTAGTTTTTTATTTTTCCACATGGAATGATAGTTGAGCATAACATGTTATACATGGTCAAAGAATTCTACCCAATCTTTGCCCTTTGGCACACACTTTCCATTATTATACATTAATTGTTCCAATTTCGTGAAAGCAAAACATTACCAACTATTAAATTAGTAAATGTTAATCATCTTGCCCGGAAAAGCATAGAATCTATATTTACAAGTATATTAATTGGGAGTTTATCCCCATGTTAAAAATAAACAAAAAAAAGAAAAAATTATTATAATTAAAGGAATTGACCATATTCATTGCAAATTTAATTTTACTTAGTAAAATATTATGTGATTCTTGACCAATATAAAAAAAAAAGAAGACGAGGACTAATCCTCTTTACGAAAATATTTATAGGCACATCAGACTAATTACATCATTCTTCAAAAGAAAATTGTTTAATTACATCATAATTAAGGCTTTTTCCAATATAGTGTATTTCACTATTAATATGTATGAAGACAACTGATAAAATAAAAATGCATTTTAGTATTGCACTATTAAATCCAACAGATAACTTCTTCAAGTGCTCCAAGTACCTAGCTTCTTGAAGAATATAAAATCATAACGTTATTATCGAATATATAAATATATTCCGTGTGAACACCATTGGAAGCCCACCATACAGATAGATCCACAACCACACTGGACCTAATTCCGAAAACCCAAAAACTTCCCCTAAGAGCTTAACGCGATGGTTTCTTTAGGTGGCTGGGCTTGAGTTCCGAATGAGAACAAAAAGGGTATTGATGGTAGCCCGTCAATCAAATAGGGACAAATGCTTTCCTGGAAAATGGGGTTTCTACTTCCAGTTTTCATTAATAGCATGTAGCAGATAAACTAATAATAGTGAGAACAAATTATAGCTGCAAAAGAAGTAGAAGCACATTGGACCTAGCTAGGCTAACCGGTGCCGATAGATCCCATAACTTTGTGAAATACCCAAGCTAAGGAAATCAATAACTGCAGAGAACATACAAACTCTATGCCGTCCCCTCCACTTTGACCATAAGTAGAGCAACCACTGTGATTTTTAATTTCTTTTGCAGCATGAACTATATACTGTTACTGGAGGTAATCATTTGGAGGATCTGGCACATAAGCACAATCAACAAACTGCCAACGGCCGGTATTCATTTGAACCATATTCTTGAACTTCTCATGGTTCCACCATTCAGGCGGTATTTTATATTTGTTCTGTAAACCATCAATTTTTTTGTTTATGAGTGCAATATCACGATCAACTTCCAGTTTGAATTCTCCGCTTTCTTGTACCCCTGCGACTCCATGCAAGTGAACCTCCAAATTGTGAGCGTTAATACCCTGCTTCAAGTACGGTGATTTGGTTGTGTCGATTGCCAAATTTTCCCCCACATGAGTGTAGCCTAAAAGCACTGGAAGCTGGGGAATTATATCTTTTGGATTTGTGATGCGTAGGATATGAAGCTCAATGAGTTCATCAATTACTTCTTTGAATTCTTGGTTCCCAACGCGTGGACTACCATATGCAAAAGCTGTGACCATGCACTTCTTATTTGAATTGTCTGTGGGTTTGTTATATCCCTTGGCTACTATATCAGTGGCGTTCAAGGTTGCAAGGGCTGCTCCCAGGCTGTGGCCGACAACTGTAATGCTTATATCCTCTTTCTGGTACTTATCTACCAGTTTTCGAACTGCTTTTAGAACCTGAAAGGTGCCAACAAAATTAGATTGCGTATGTTCAATTGCATAATCATATGAACTATTAGATGAATTTTGGCAACATTAAGGGAAATTAAGGAAACCGCTAGTACAATATCAAGATTTACCTGATCCCTGGCACCTGTCTGGTTATAAGGAGAATTGGAGACTTTTCCTGTATAAATAGCAAGAAAGCCGGAGTGCACCTTAGCATGGTCGGTTCCTAATAACTCTTTAGCTGATGTTGTAAAAAACCTTGCATCATCAATCCATTCCGGTTCTGTTCCTGTTCCTCTCCAAGAAACCAAGATATCCCTTCTTCCCAAAGCAGTCTTTCCTTCATCTGTAGCAACCGCCACATATCCAAACCAATTGGAGTCATTACTATCTGCGGCCCCATAAAAAAAGTTAGTCACTTCATACATGAACGGATTTCCATTTTCTAGACCAGCCCTGGAGAAGAACTCATCTGGTGGATAAAGACAATATCCGAACCCCCTGGATGCCATTGTGTCGTTGAAGAGATCTCCAGCAGCTCCAGCCCTTTCACCATAGTGAATAACATAGCGGCGGAGGTCAGGATCAACAGGATGCAATAGATCCTTCCAGTTTTTCTCGCCGCTAAGATCCCTCCACCTTGTTGCGATGGAATTATCCATGACTCTTGCTCACTCGCTAGTCAGTTCTGGCCTACTTAATCTACGGTGAGAATTATGCGACTCTAAGCTTGCATCCCATGCTTTATTTATAGTGCTCAGCGAGGCTCTCCCCTTTCTCGAAAAGACAAAAGAAGAAAGAAAGTAAAACAAAAGATGGAAAAACAAACAAGAAATAAGCAATCAACAAATATCTAGGAATTTTAGTATTCGCAGAGCAAAAGATTTAGTAATTGCTATTTATATATGTTGATAAATGGTGGGCATAATTCTTATCAGCTAGCCGTGGATAAGCAAAATTCTTCATTTTGTCCTCATTGTAGAATGAGTGAACCTCATGCATGCATTCTAAGATGAGGCTATCTGACGAATTTCAACTACATATGATTCATGAGTAGGAAAATAAATATAATTTATAATGCTGTGAAACCGACAGATAAAGACAAATAGTATATTCATTACTGTTGTTATTATTATTATTATTATTATTATTATTTTAGTATATTTTATCATTTGATGTAAAATCCCTTCACTTCTCAACCATCTCTGTGTACAAATATCTTGGGCCTCTTCATTGTTACTACTTCTGCACGTTTTAAATATTCAAACTGAATCGCGATAGAACTCAAATTGGGACCATAGTATTCGTGTCCATACATTTTCAAGATTTCCAAAATTTATTAAGATTATCGTTGATCCATTGAACACTACCAAAAGAGAGTGGTAGTATATGCTTTATTTCTTTAGAGCTGGTACTTATTGGGACCAAACAAATAAAATATCCACGGACTCCCATTCCATGACTTAAACTGGATCTAAGACCCATCTAACCAAGCAGGTACAAGCCAGCAGGTATCACCCGGCTTTTCTTTAGTGGCTGCAGCCTGCAGGCGAACTACGGCTTTGGCAGATGAACTCGTCGGCTGCGCTCGGCCTCACCGTACAGGCCTAGGAGAGGGGGGACGGCGGTGTCACGGTCCGTAGGTCCGTGATCAGTTCAATCCGTCACTACTGACCCAGCAATATGCATGTCTGCTGCCCAGTTTCCAGCCCATGGCAGGGGGACAATCATCCAATAATTTGTCCTTTTTTATAGCCTTGTATACTTGCAACCTGGATTGTTGAAAGTCGATAGACTAATTTGAATTCAATTTTTAAGGAGTTACGATGATTAAAAGAAATATTAAAGGAACTTATAACATATTATTGGAAATCAGACTAATTGGTGGCCAATCCAAGATAAGCAGATGTTTGTAGAGTTCAAACTTTCAAAATATTCACACAACCAGCTCAACGTTGTTGTATTCCGTTTGTCTAATAGCTGTGAATCGCAAGTTTTCTTTAACGTTTTTTTGCTCCTAAAGGAGAGTGGTACTTTCTTTGTCTATCACTAAATTATTTCTGACATAAAAGTCATATTCATTCACCAATAATATAACACAAAGTACAGACAACACAATTATTTTGACGACCTAATTTATCTACTACTGACAAACCAGACTTAATGTCCAACTTATTTAAAGGAAATCACGAACTCACCCCTCCACATGGACTGCTCTAAATGTAGAGGTACTTATTTTCGGGATAGAAACACACTTTTATTTGATTCCATTTTAAAAGGAGGAAGACCTCGAGCATTTGCCAAGATCAAACACTTGGAGGATCTGGCACATAAGCAGAGTCAACAAACTTCCAGTGACCGTCATCCATCTGAACCATGCCTTTGAACTTCTCATTGTTCCACCATTCAATTGGAATTTCATACTCGTCCAGTAAATGATCACCATATTTGTTTAGGACTGCATTGTCAAAATCAAGTTCCTCTTCCAATTTGAATTCTCCATTTTCTTGCACCCCTGCAACTCCATGCTCGTAAGCTTCCAGATTGTGAGGATTAGTAGACGATTTCAAGTACGTTGACTTCGTTGTGTCAATTCCTAACTCTTTTCCCACATGGGTGTAGCCAAATCCTATTGGAAACTTAGGAACAGGGTCTGTGGAATTCACTATGCGTAGGAGATGAAGATCCTTAAGTCCATCAAATATTTCCTTGAATTTTCCATTCCCAACGCGAGGGCTGGCAACTGGAAAAGCTGTGACCATGAATGACTTATCCGAGTTACCTGTTGGCTTGTTAAAACCATTGGCAACTATGTCCGTAGCATTCAGGGTTGCAAGAGCGGCGCCCAGGCTATGGCCTGTTACGGTTATGCTTAAATCTTCATTCTGGTACTGGTCAACCTGTTCTTGGACGGCCCTTAGAACCTGAGAAGCATTAATAAATTTTGAATAGGTTCATTAGATGGGAATTATTTTTCTTTAAATAGAACAAGTTAGTGGATTATGTTGGTACAAATTACTCAATTTTATTTGTGTTTAAATTAAAGTGCAATTTATGGGGCAATTTTCTAAATAGTAGGGCTCAGTAAGTAAGGTCAAATGCGTATATAATCTGGGAGACTTGTGACTGATCCCTGGCACTACTACATTCAGGTCGAGAGACAGACGGAGAATATCAAGATTACTTACCTGATCTCTGGCGCTGGTCTTACTATAAAGAGAATCCGCCACTTTCCCTGTATAAATAAAGAGAAAGCCAGAGTGCACCTGAGCTGAGTCAGTTCCGAATAATTCTTTAGCTGATGTTAGGAAGAAGTTTGCATCGTCAGCCCAATCCGCACTCGTTATGCTTCCTCTCCATGAAACTAGAATATCCCTCCTTCCTAGAACAGCATTTCCTTCATCTGTGGCCACTGCCACATATCCAAAGTATTCGGACACACTAGCAGCTGCAGCGCCATATATAAAGTTGGTCACCCGGTATTTGTATGGATTTCCAATTTCAAGACCAGCCCTAGAAAAATATTCATCTGGTGGATATAGGCTAAGTCCGAAACTCTTAGATGCCTTGTTGTTATTGAAGAGATCTCCAGTAGCCCCAGCCCTCTGACTATAGTGTATAATGCAGCGACGGAGATCAAGATCAAGAGGATGCAATAGGCCCTCCCAGTTTTTCTCGCCGCTGAGTTCTCTCCAACGAGATGCTATGGAGCTAGCCATCACTCTGAATCAACTAATTCTCTCAATTCTTCTTTTCTAAGCTTTTTTGTGAAGATATGACTCCTAGATTGCTTTGTATGCTTTATATAAGGTGTTGTCCGACCCGAAGGAGGGAAGAAGACAGAATCCAATGTGGATAAACAAATTGAAAATTAAACACATTTTTAACATAAAACTTTGCTTTAAGCTCAATCCCAAGAAGCATAATCTTCCAGTCGGCTTTATTTTCTAACTGTATATTCACATGGCTTCATTTTTCCAAAGTTCATATTTGGGCCACCTAACGCTAACAGTCCCCCCACATTTTTGGTGTTCGTTTTTTTTTTTTTGAAAGATACATTTTTATTGTTCCTAACATTATCTCTTTTCCAGACGTATACCTATAGAACTCTTGATTTAATTAATGTCTATCCATGACTTGGGTCGAAGCTACCGTAAAGAAAAGACTTAATTTATTGTTGATATTATTATTATAATTTTGTGTTGACACTGCCATTTATAAGTCATAATATTCTTCTGTGTCAACACTTTCAATTTTTTTTTTTGAAAGCATAATTTGATCGATAACTGAAAGAAATACATGAATATTGATTTAAGTCTCCAGTCATTAAAATGTTGACACTTTAATTAACTTCATTTTATATTTTATTAAAATTTTAAAATACTTGTTTAATGTGCAAAACTTAATCAAAATATATGTACATATACATAGATATTAGTAATAATTTGTTGCAATTAGGATAATATAGCCAGAAATATATCAACACAAGATTAGACCTACATGGCACGGCATGCACAATAGAGAATTGTTTTATACGTATTATTTGGAATAAATTAAGAAAGCTGACAGTAGAAAATACAATAAGTGAAATTTAATCATAACATGTCCATATATCATATCTTATGTGGCATGAAAATGATTAAATCTAAACCTCAACATATGGAAAACAATTATTAAAAAAAATAATATTCAACATGTTCTCCATGTTATATGCTTGCATTTTAGATGATTTCATGTAAACATGGTTTTTAGGTATCAAGCATCACAGTCCCATTAAACATAATTATGTTGGTCCACAAAAATAGATCAACAGCTGGAGCTATGGTGGCCTCGAAAGAGCAATAGTTCAAATGATCATGATGATTTGCGCTTTGAAGAAATCCAAAGTGGCACAATAAGGGAACCTTAAAAAAATTGACAAATTAAGGAGTCATGAATTTTATTTTATTTTTTTGGAAAAACAACTGAAATATTAACATTATTAGGAGAAGAGAAGAAGTAAAGCCTCCTGATAGGAAACCGAGAGTATAATAAGAGACTACAATGACAATCCATTTGTTTTTTAATTTTCGGCCAAAACCAAAAGACCCATTTAGTGAATAAGGTAGAGGAGGAGACCAATATCGGAGAGGTTCCAATAGACCCTCTGAGATTTTCTTGCTACTGAGTTCTCTCCAGTGGGATGCTATGGAAATAGCCATCACTCTCTTTTAACACTGTTATTTACTTGTATCCAAGCATCAAGCGAGTATCATCAAGAAAATTCTATTAGAACAATAAAGAAACGGTCAGTACAAGCAAAAGATAATGAACAGTAAGATCATGGAAAGTAAAGTCATAAATGAGTAACAAATAGAGTTATGTCATTATATATGTAATGCACGTTACAAAAAGAACTAATCACACACTTCAACAAAAAAAAAAGAAAAGAAAAAGAAATAATCACAAAGAAAAATTCATTCCCTGTTTCCCACTTAAAACACCAATTGACTTCCTTATTCCTATTACATTGATTATTACCTAATGCTATAAATTATGTTGCACAGCTTAATTATCAAACCAAGGCACGCCAATCATGGATCAACATCATCTTGACCTTCATGATCCATCAACTTCCAAGAACCATCTTCCTGCTGAACCATACCTTTGTTCTTTTCAATCTTCCATGACACTGGCACCAAATATTCATCCTTTAATCCATCGATTGATTTGTTTACCAGGGCTATATCACGATCAACCACCAAAGCAAACCCTCCTTTACTCCCTTGTGTTCCAGCCACCCCATGTAAATAACCTTCCAAATTATGCCAACTTGACAAGTTTCCAGGACTATTCAAGTACTTGGACTTACGGTTATCAATAGCCAACTCTTCTCCTACATCCGAATAACCTATCAAAGGATAGTTGGGGACTACATCTAAGGCGTTCTGGACGCGTAAGGCTCGAAGGTCTTTGAATCCTGTAAACGCCTTCTTGAAGTCTGAGTCGCCAACTCGAGGACTGGCAAATAGAAAAGCTGTAACAGGAGAGGCCTTGCGCGACTGGCTTTTGGGCCTGTTATATCCATTGGCGACTATGTCGATGGCATTCAGAGTTGCAAGCGCTGCACCTAAGCTGTGGCCGGTCACTGTGATGCTTATTTCCTCGTCCTTAAATTGGTCCATTAGTCTCCTAACCTCATTAAGAACCTACAAAATCAATAGCAAGAACAGACAATTTGTACTTTTTTACAGAACAGACATAGATAGTACGTAATAGGACATCAATTGTTATGGTGAGCCTGTGGTCTACATGACTCCGCTGTCTGAACTGACGAAAAAGAGAGGATATTACTTACTGTAATTTTGATATTTCCTTTATCCCTTGCTTTTCCCCCACTCATCAAGGTTAATCAATGCAAAACTTTTCTTGTTTTTTGATTCGTCAAGACATTGAAGAAGACGTAGACCCTTTCCCGTTATAATAATATAAGGCTTAAAAATAATTGTAATCAAATTTAGAGGATAACATGACAATTGAAAAGAAATGTGGAACCGCATTGATTTTCTATCATACAAGTCTTGAAAATATATATGATTTTCAAATTATATAGATTAACGTCCTTCCACCTTATCATTCCGCCAATAATACATTATTCAAAAGAATCTTACCTGGTCTCTGGCACTGCTTTTGTTATAGGGCGAACGTGAGTCTTCCGAGGTGTAGATGGAGTACCAGCCCTCATGCACCTTGATATCTCTACGCTCATGACCAAAAATTTTCTCTGGCGAAACCAAGTTGAATTCAAGATCATTGATCCATTCCAGGGTCTGCACTGTTCCTCTCCAAGCAATCACAATATCCCTCCTCCCCAAAACATCTTTCCCTTCGTCCGTGGCCACAGCAACATATCCTATCCAGTTCGATTCTTTGCTCCATGCTTCCCTCGACAATGACTTCAAGATGAATGCTTCCGGAACTTGGGTTTGCGATGTCGCGTACAAGAATTTTGTCACTTGATACCTGTAAGGATTGCCTTTCTCCAAACTCACTTTAGAGAAGAAATCTTTCTTGCCATAAAGGCTGCTTCCAGCAAACTTGGATGCCTTCTCGGTGTTGAAGGCGTCATAGGTAGCCTGAGCCATTTCTCCATAGTGAATAATACAACGGCGAAGATCAATATCCAAAGGGTCCAAAAGCTCTCCCCAATGATTCTGGCCGCTTAGAGGTTTCCATCTTTTTGCTATATTACTACTCATCGCCTTCTTTTTCTTACCGAACCACTTCCCAAGAATGCATAGAGTTTCCATGCCTTTCAAGGATGCTTGTTAGGTGTCATTTCAGCTTAGTAATATATATAGACGGTAACACCAAATTAAAGTTTGGCTTACAATATTGACGCTCAATAGTCTTTCCATTCTGCAAGCAATGTAAGTTTGTGAAGGGGAAAAACCTTAATTATCTTGTCCAAATTTTCTTACCAATCATAAAATAAACATTTATGATTTATCTGACTTTAGATTTTCCATGATACCATTTCCAATAAGTTGACTTATATACCAATTCCTATTGCAGTCAGCATCGGACACTTGAAATTTGCCAAATCAGGCCAGTCATTTTTTCAGGAGTATAACAAAAGAAAAAGACTTTTTATGGTTTTCCCAATTTCTAATAAAATACTAATTTCACTTTGATCAGGCCATAGTTCAGTCTTGGGTCATTTCTCCTTATATGATGATTATCGATTCATTTTTAAGTGTCGTGCAATTAACAACAGGTATTAGACTGTGATGTTTTAAGTGATCATAGCTTGTCAGTGAATACAAACATTATCCACCTTGCTAGAAGACATATAAGTATATCAAATGCTTATACGGCTTGTTTTATCTGTCAAAATCATTAGATGAAAATAATTTATCAGCTTCTCTACTGGGAAATTTGGTAGTTCGTGCTTCTTAATTAATTCAGCACCAGGTAATTAAGGCTTTCAATTTTCTATTGGCTTAAGCATGTGTTGCAATATTCTGTTGGCTACCTACGACGCCTTCAGTTATAAATATCAACATCATTAAATTTGCTGGCCTTTGCCAAACTGTCGATGCTCAGATTCTTGGCTTTGAAGGGCATGCCTCTTCTTGCACAAGAAAATTCATCTTCCCCCACCGAAAGCGGTTGATTAGGATGGAAACTTTCTGCTCAAAAAAAAGGTTTGATATATATGTGCCAGAAGACAAAACATTTTCTACAAGCTTTATTTTGTTTCCATCATGAACACCTTAAAATATAGAGAATTTGCTTTGAAGTTACCATAAGACAGTATTATGTGGCAGCATGGAGACGCTTGCAAGATGAAGAAGGTAAGTATTGGGACTTAATCAGATAGATACCTTGCCGAGGCTTTCAATTTGGGTGAAGTCCGGGAGCCGAAGTTCAAGAAGATTTGGCACTACAACTTTGAATTTAAGGATTTTCCTTTTTATATATACTAACCATTTGATAAAGATATCCTAAAGGTTTTATTCTTAGCCTATATATATAGGTAATATAAATATGATGAATATGCAGCTAAAATTAGAAGTAGAAATCACCTTAATTACTTTCAGAAAGAGATCCCCTCAGCCTAGCTGCTAGCTACTTAACTACAGAATCGAAAAAGAACTACAAAATGTGCACTTCAGCTTGGTCTTAATAAGATTCCCACTTTCTGTTCTAGACGTGGTCTAAGTGGGCTGCCAGGTTCCATGGAAGTTAATTTGGGCCTTTGGATCAGGTCACAAACTTGCATTATAAGGGCCTCTGATGACTTTGGCCCATAGAGGTTCAGCCTAAAATTCCATCTCTATTCTTCCCCATTGAACGTCCATTTTTCCCTTTATACTGATTACCTTCCACAGTGTCTTGACCATCTCTAATTAATCAACGAATTTGGGTGTTTTAAAGGATGGATTCGGGAGTGGACTTCAACGTTTGTATTTATTTTCTAAGGAAGAAAAATCTACACCAAGGCGGATATGAAGCTGAAGCCTCTAAGATATGTGCTGCAACAAAAGAAATAAGATCGCATATACTAGTAACATTTTTTTTCTTAATAAGTATCTTATCTGGGTTTCGTTTTTTTTTTTTGGTTAAACGGGATTTAAATACGCAATGGTGAGGAAGATAAAAGATTGTCTTGTCACTGAAAATGTCTTTCGAGACAAGAACTTGGAAAGCAACTATGGCCCCGCGATGAGAAACTTTAGTACTTTCTTCTCATCAATCATGCATGTGATCCCTCGTAGTTGGCCCTTTCAAATCGGCCATAGCCTCCTTTCTTTCCCCCCCCTTGGCTTCCATCAAGCAAATCCAATAAACCCAAATATTACAAAAACATCCCATTCTTCCCCGACCCACCTCTGTTTGTCCTACATCAACAATCATAATGCCAAAACACAATGATTATGGAAACTTGGCGAAAAGAACTATGCTATAGTTCTCTAGTTGAATGGGAAAGTGATATGGGAATCTTTGTTTCTTCATCTTTTCAATCACACTATGGGAAATGCACATTTCTTATTTCTACTAAGGATTCAACCATTTTGCAATACAAATACCAAATGGATAATTAACAACTTTTTAACCACAAAAGAAGTTTGAATACAAGAAAGAAAATCCATGTACCAAAACAAAAAACCGTCACATGTGGGCATTACTCATTAGGAGTAGTACTTGCCAGACTCATATTTGAACGTTCCTGCTGTCTAATGTGGAAAGCCCCTTGCAACATTGACAAGGTGGAAAACGTTAATCTTGTTAATGCCTAGCATTAGTTAATCATGCATGGACCGTGACCAGCCTCTGGTCCTAGAAATTGATTGTCGAACAATTGAACTTAGTCACGGCCCCTACCGGAACAAATCCTCACCCTACTCACAACCACCGACCCCATTTAAGCCTCCTGGTTCTCTCATGCATGTGAAGTTCAATTTGTTATGATCTCTCAATCCCTTAAAAGATTAAAGTAATTCAAGGTTTAGAACTGTTCAACGATTCAATGATAATGCTGGTTTCCATACAAAGAAAAAGTGGAGCACAATATATATAAAGATTGAATACAGAGTACAGATCAGTGCAGACTGAGCAGACAAGCCATTTTCGCACCATTTGTTGTGTGAGGACTGACTCGTGAACTGTGACTCATGACCCGTGAAAAAAATTTGGCAGAGCTTTCTGCCCTGATTGAATCAACTTTCTGTTACTGCAGAGACGGTTTTGAAAAGCTCACAACTTCCCTGGTTTAGTCCCACATATGGAATCCGAGCCTTTTCTCAAGCCTATCGTCATGCCTTGAAAAAATTGAGCAGGCAATGAACTAGATTGGGAATCGGGGGTGATAATTTTAGCTGGATAAAAGTCTAAAACAGAAAGTGCTCCTCCATTTTATATCTTTCAGACTTTGGCCCTGAATGCATCCATTTGCATGTATGGCTTGACAGAAACACTAGCTCCTCTTCAACCTGTCAAAAGGAAGTTGCCTTCTGCGAACTATGACACCATTTTTTTAGATTGCAAGTAATTGGTTTGCAAACATTTTGTAGTTTCAGCTGCAAGACCAGTTAACTTGTTCTAAGTGGTAATTTTTTTTTTTGGAAAATTATATGAATAGTACATTGAGTCAGAAAGGGGAAATCCTTTGTTCATCCAAACCAGACCTGAATAAGATTAGATCCCCTTTACAACAAACTGGAAACAAAAAACCTCCAGTAGATCCCCCGCCTCAAGTAAAAATCCACCTATCTCATTTACAAAGTCAGCATTCGCCGAATACGAGCACAAAAACAAAAGTTGGGAAAACCCAAAAAGCAAGATTGGACACATAACCGGTAGCCTGTTTCCTGTCTAACTAATTCACTAGAACAGGAGGCAATTCCAAACATTACACAGAGCCAGCCCATCACACACAGACCCCAGGCAGGTGTATTAGATTTATGGCTTGGCTTAGATTTATTCTTAGTCACAAGCGTTTTGTTGGGTGTCTGCTGCTAGCCAGGCATTTTGACTTTTTGCTTCACTTCTTTCTATTACCCTGACAAGTCATTGTATTCTTTTCTTTGGAAGGGAAATCACTCGTTCTTCCAAGAAAAAAAAAACCATTTATTAAATGGCCAAATTAAGATCATAGATTGTGAATGATTTTTCATTTTCTTAAATGTTTAAGGATGGGCTTGGGGACGCCTAATTCAGAACTGGACCCTGGAAGCAAGCCTAAGCCTGCTCTACTTCCATTATTGACTGAACTCGGATTCGGAAAATATCTTTTAGACTTGGCACATAAATATAGAGCTGGCTTGCAAGCCTAGATTGACTGCTCCACTACTAGACAACTTTAACCATAGGCTACTAAATGATCCATCAAAAAGGAGAACTTTAAACCATGAGTTGGTCGTTGCGATTAAGTTATCATGTCATTAAACATTAAGTTATATATGCTATGATATTTCGATAATGATTAAGTTATAATGTCGTGTTTTGATTAAAAAATTTATATGAATGAAGTTCGTTTTCACCTTTTTCTTTAACTGTTATATCCATATATATTCTTTTTAACATTGCATCATATATATATATACACAGACACACAACCAATACTTCTCCAAAATCTTGTGCATCTTACCATTTCTTCTCAAAAGCAATAGTAAACCTTTAACCATCAGGATATTTCATGGAGAATATAGATGAAATTACTTCTATTGGTGAGAATGGACACCGCAGGGGAAGGGATTGGGAACATGGGCATGGGGAAGTAGCCAGACTATGTATATAGGGTTCTAAGAGGCTAAGACCTAAAATATGCCAGCATGATCGTGACCTATGCAAAATGCATTACAGCGGGGCCGGAGGCACTATGTCCTTCTCGGACAACTCGCGGGGCCTTTTGGATCGGTTATTGAATTTTAAGGCATTGCCGCATGAACTGGATGTCCTTGGCAATGAGACACATCAACATGCGGACAAGCTTCCCTAGATTCGATAAAAAGTAAATTAGCCTTATGTAATGTCCGGTAGCTGCGCTCTTCAGGTGTGGAATGAATTCTCTCTTCAAGCTTCAAGCACTGTTCTTCTCATGAAAGGTCTTTATGGCCATGATTGGAAGATTGAACTCCATGATTGTGAATTTCGGGGACAAATTTTGTTTCTCTGCGGGAGAGGGGTTTCTGCTTTGCAACCAGAAAGGAGGAAAAAAAAAAAACCGACACAAGTGTTGGAAAATTGTGCTTGGATAGTATAATTACTAGGCGCCTGGCATATACATGCATATTTTATTTTTATTGTAAA